AATTTTAATCTTAGAATGATAAAATGATCGATGGTATAAATACTGTATACAACTGTAACTGGTGTATATAGGTTATAATTATGAAATTTGCTCACAAAAGTGGTATAGATTTAATTAAATTATATATATTTGTTGTGCTAATTCTCCCAATACTATGTTTTGGATAGCCAGCATGGCACCCTGATGATTACCATTGATAAGTGTATGGATATGTTTGACGAAGATGTGCATTTATATAATAACACGGAAAATATTGATCAATACTACTGCGCAGCCTTTCTACATTGACATCATCTTAAAAGAGTACTATATTAATATATTAGTTGAAAGGCAGGCAAAAGGGGACTGATAGAAGACATCTGATGATTCAATTATGTCATGAATCACTCATGATACATTGTTTATCATTGTACAGTTTGGTAGGTTTATTTGACAAACAATTTTCAACTAAGATAGTTCATTAAATCAATTTACACACAGTGGCCTATCACTATATATCTATTGATTTAAAGTTTGGGGTCATGTGTAACTAGTTATACTTATAGAATTTATTTTAAAACTCAGTGCTTGTTGTGTGTTAGTTTACTGGTTTCCTGGTGACAGGGCAATATTCTCAGTAATTTAGAGTGTGGGCTAGTCACCATGCAGTTCATATCAAAGGCATCTATTGCTAGGGGCGAATACAATTGACCTACTGATGCCAACAACACTGTCCACACAGAGTATGATTAGCAACATAAGACAGAGTTAGGTCTTAAAATGTATATATATATATATATATATATATATATATATATATATATATATATATATATATATATATATATATATATATATATATATATATATATATATATATATATATATACTAACTTGGATTACAAACCCTAAGAACAGCATTAAAATATTAATACCACCAAGTGAAGTGCAAGAAACCAGATCATTGAAGTCCACCTTATCACAACCCGCACACCTGATCACCTATATATACATGAACTTACGGTTACAGCTCAACAGCTGGCCTCTGTAGCTCAGTTGGTTAGAGCGCTGCACCGGAATCGCAGGGCCGTAGGTTCAATTCCTACCAGAGGACCTTGTGCTGCATTTTTCGCAGTCGTTCCTGGTCAGGTCCTAAAATGTATATATATACTCACTTGGATTACAAACCCTAAGAACAGCATTAAAATATTAATACCACCAAGTGAAGTGCAAGAAACCAGATCATTGAAGTCCACCTATATATTAAAATAAGTTTACCCACTAGAGCACAAAATACCTGTATCGGCTGTATGCACCATTCTGATTCAGAACCATCCTCAGAGATACGAAAAACTAGTTTCATATTAATCTGACACTGCAATCGAGCAACGAAAAATTCCTTCGCTCGAGCGACCATTCTAATGCTAAAAGATTTTACTCATGGAACATTGGAAATTAGTGGAAATTAATAAGAGTAAGGGAAGGTGGTTAAGAAACGTAATAACACTGTCTTTTGAGTCCAACAATGCAACTAGTGGATCACACTGTATACACCTTTGTTACACGTATGTGTGTATTTGCGTTGTCGTGATTTTTTCCCGAAATGTTTTGCAATAGAAAAGTTAAGGCTACAGGAAGCACAGTACTGACTATTTTTGGATAGAGACTTATGTACCGCTACTGCTATTACACTTGTACAAGCGAATATTTTTTCTTATAGTAATATGGAGAAATTATGTTGTTTTTGCGATATAGGTTCAAGTTTTTTACGTGCTTTCTAAAAATGCAGCAAATAATTTTGTGACTCTGATATATGAATTGGAACAAAAGAGTTTGCTCAGAACGCAGGAAATCGCATTTCCGAGGTTCTAGATTTCAAAATTTCCCGGGGGAGGATACCCCCGGACCCCCCTGCAAATGCGAGGTCTTATGTATGCATCAGTCACGTCAGGAGCTGGATCCGCCCCTGCCAATAACTGGTCATTGCTACCAAAATCATTTCTACCTATGTCTCCAAAATTATCAGCATGCATGTAACATTATTACTTATTATGTATTTATACTGTTACTGTGGCAATGACCAACAAGTAATGGGAATTGCCAAATAGTTGTCCATTTCATGATGTCAGAGTATGTTTCTCTGATGACTGGTTTTCTATAAATACCCAGATAGCAAAGGAAACAACTCAAATATTTTAGTGAAGTGAAAGTTAAAAATATAATTTCTCTTTGCAATATTGGTGTTGGAATTTTGAAACGAGTCAACCCTGAACCAAGTGTTGTAGGTTTTCTCTGGGTACTACGGTTTACTCACACGGGAAGAAAAATCTGTTTGAAAAAGGTGTCCACTTTCATGACCATTTGACTGACACTGCATGCATTTATTGTTGACCTACAGACAAGGGATTCAGAGCAATGCATTTTGCCAGAAGTGATTATTTGGACATTCAGCTTTTTATTTTCTTATCTCAATCAATCTGCAGGCAAAAATCATTGCATACAACACAAATATAATGATGTGGACATCAACTGATATCTTGTTTTTTTTAAAGAAATACAATGGTTTACATAGGTTATGATATGGTTAGGTAAAAATAATACTATATACAAATTAGCATAATATATCTAACCCAGAATAAGAACATCTATACAAAGTGAGAGGTGCAACTTTAAATAAAACAACATAGATGTATATGTAGTTTTCTGTATAATTGTATTAATATATTCTATATTGTTAGTAATATTTTTTGTATATACTTTGTTATGACTAAATGCATCTGATTGGTTTAATTTTTGTCACATGATCATAAAAGCTCGTGTAATTTTCCAGACCCCGCAACAAACTTCCCGACGAAGGGCCTTCGCTCGAAACATTGTCCTTGTATTTTTCAGGTAGTTGCATCCCTACCAAACAGGGGCGAAACTTGAGTTGGGGGTGTGTGTTCAGGGGGTGGTCCAGAAAAAATTTCCACCCCCTCCCCACCCACCCACCTCTGTTCGGCAGCATTTTGGGGAAACAGTGACCAGAAATGAAAATTTGCTGCAGGGCATCATCGGTTTGGGCAGGGCAATTCTGGCAGACACCCCCGAATTAAAAGGGGACAGCTTCGTCCCTGCTACCAAACAAAGCTTCAAATGAAGATAGTTCTATGTTACTACCATGCACTGTGTGTGGCATAATAAATACACTTAGCACTTTACTGGGTCTCTTTAAACTCCTGTGTTTTGTGACTAAAACTATTTGTAGATTAATTTTGCCACTGGATAAATCCTGATCACCAGGATCGACAGACTGTGCACGTTAAACAGTTACTGTTAGACTGGCTACAATTTGCTGCTCTTGTCACATGAACATTTCTTGATTGTTTGTTATTAAAACCACTTTCGTCCTTGCTATTGAATTTTTGAATCTAAATCATTAGCTGTAGGAAAAGAAAATTAAAAGGTAGGTTTAATCATTAGTTAGTTAGATTGATATGTGAGAGGTCTTAGACTTTTACATCAAAATTATTGAGTGGAACTTTATAAACATTTATTAGATCTAATCAGGAATAACTGTGAGAAAAGCAACTATCGGTCACTGGCAGGAATTGAACCTGCAGCCATGCTGCAGTGCTGGACTAAGGCCTGTTCATGCATTACTGTATATTACATATATACTAATTAAGGTACTATATAATATATCATACTAAAAAGGTACTGCCATGACCCTAACCCATAAGAGAGCTCGACAACTGGCCTCTGTCGGTTAGAGTGCTGCACTGGAATTGCAGGTCTAATTCCGGCCAGGGACCTACAGTTGCTTTTTTTCACAGCTGTTCCTTGTTTTGGAATAATAAGTGTCTATAAATTTCCACTCGACAACTTCCATGTCCAAGACCCTTCAACTATTATAATGAGTGGGATGCCAACAGAATCTCTTAGAAAAATATGTAGGCCTAGTGTCCTAAACAACTGAGCTACAGTACAGAGTCCAAATGTCGAGCTCTAACCACAAGTATATATACTGGTTACTGCCTTGTCAAGGTATCAGTAAATATTAATATGTTTTAAAGGTTGTAGGTTTCAATTTTGGTATTTAGCGATACTAACACAGCAGTACCCAAGTATACACACATGAATTCCAGCTTGACAACTGGACTATGTAGCTCAGTTTTGTTGGTTAGAATGCTGCAATTGCACCAGGATTGCAGGGCTGCAGGGGCGATTCCAGCAGAGGACACAATAATATTCAAAGTGTGTGAGCAACTAGCAGTCGGGATGTACCTTTCATATACCATGCTACTTTCTGGAAGTTTATTAATTTTGTCTACCACAGTACTTATTGAACTTGAAGCTCACAATTGGGTTGGCTTTAAATAGTATACAGTTTATAGTTTAATAATTAAAAATAGATATGCTATAAGTGATATAAAACAAACTATTATCTAGTCTAATGGGTTAGCATATTTGCAAAATTGTAAAGCACCTTAACACTTCTAAGTGTTAAGGTGCTTTCCAATTTTGCGAATATGCTAACCCATTAGACTAGATAATAGTTTGTTTTATATCACTTATTGTATATCTATTTTTAATTATTAAACTATAAACTGTATACTATTTAAAGCCAACCCAATTGTGAGCTTCAAGTTCAATAAGTACTGTGGTAGACAAAAATTGTGCGCGAATATAAATTTATCATCATGACAAGAATAATTATCAATTATAGACCTGGAGCGAGGGGGATTCGGAGAAATATTACCCTCAGTGATGATATTTCCCGAGAGCGCAGCCCGAGGGAAATATCATCACTGAGGGTAATATTTCTCCAAATCCCCCGAGCGGAAGGTCTATAATTGATATATTATACCGAAAATTTAAACAGGGTTGGATGTTAAAAGGTAAACAAGTGCACGATTTTGGACTTAACGGAGGTTGCAACTTATAATTAAAAACGTAATAATAACACTTTTACTGTACATCCTGTTAGTCATATATAAATTATTATGTATAAAACATGTGTCAGTTGACAAACAAGAAAGTTATTTTGGAATGTTTATATTAATGGTACATCCATCAAACTTGGTGTATTTGAAGATTTCAGTCGGTGCGCTCATCACGGGTGACAGGACTGTATTCATTATTTGGTTGAGGTAAGGTGTTGAAGGAAGGTCGGAATCACTCAACAAGGGTGATTGACTTGCAGGTGAATTTGATCTTAAAGGACTCTGATAGATATCATCATCTTTACGAGCGGTGGCAAGGGTTAATGATGTAGATATTCTTCGAGTCTGTTCCTCTGATACGCTGGTAGAATATGACCGGATGCTCGCTTCATTTTGATGGCCAGATATGGCCATGATATGTCTGGCTTCATACCCTGTAAAATAAGAGAGATGATGCTGTCAAGTCATGTAAATCTCATGTAAATCTACTGAATATTTATGTACAAACCAGCTTCATCCAAGACTGTTATTTCCGTTGAGCGAATTGAATGGTTTGTGTAGCGTTGTGAGAGTTGCGCTTGACGTGAAATAGTCGCCATCATATTCCCAAGGGTGTTTTTGCCAAGGGGTGCTTTGCAAAACCAAGTTTCTTCAGTTGGAATAAAGCTGTCGAGTGGTCGTTGCCAAAGAGCATTTATATCTTTATTTAATTTGCTTTTGTACTTCAGAAATGATGTCACAGGACAAGCAGGATTTCCTAAACAAAGAGGGAATCATTCTCAGTAAATTATCATGCATAAGCAATTATATATATGCAGGGATACAGGTAGATACCTGGTAATTCATACATTCTGCCTTGTGTTACGGCTCCAGTAGATGTATCGCGATGATTTTTGTCTAGTTCATCCTTCTTCTGGTGAATGTATCGTTTTCCACTGCTGTCAGTAGATATATCAAATGTTTCCGTGGTCATTGCTCTTAAATTCTCTTGCCCTCGTCGGCATAGGTAATACATGATTTCAAACCACACTTTGTTTAGGAGACCGTTCGGAGTATCGGTGTAAAACACAATGGTGTCGCCGCTGTAAAATTTCGACATATCAGCTCTTGTGATTGGGACGTGGTGTTTTACAGAACCCAAGCCTTTTCGACGCAAATCTTTTACTGCTGCTTTAAAGACTTTGGTGCTATATGAAAATGACTTGTCATTTACAATATCAAATCCAAACTTGTCCAAATAATGGCGTCTTAGACCTTGCCGAAGCGTTAGCATAGTATTTGCTTTATACTTTGAGCCGTCTTTCTTTTCGGCGTTCGCATAAAATTTTGCCAGACTTTTATCCAAAACTTATTTGTCTTGTAACTCGGCTACATTTCCGGCAGCTTTTACAAATGCTTTCAATGCCGTTTTAGTACTTTTGGTCGTGTTTTTAGAATGTCTTTCGTCTAAAATTCTGGCAATTTCTAGATCTTCTTCCGATGCAGAATCATGGCTGGCCATTTTGAATTAAATAAATAACAATTTCCCGCTTTTTTCTCCACACGTCAGTTTCGTGAGTTGCGTGGCTTCCACGATTTTAAATATCCACCGCTGTACCGGTGAATACGAGGTGGGCGCTGGTCAAAAGGACTGCAGAAATTAATATCCACCGCTCTACCGGTGAATACGATGTGGGCGCTGGTCAAAAGGACGGCAGAAACTAATATCTACGAGTAGATGTCGGAATACGACGATATATTTCATCCTCACGTGGGCAAAATGGAGCATTTTAATTGGACGTTTTGAATTTGAGGTATAATATACCTGTGTATAGTACGATCAAGATGGGCTGAGTTCATAATATGAAGATATATATTGAATAAAAGACCATGATAAATCAGAAACTCGATTACAAAAAATACAAGAGATATGTAAAACCTTTCTTACCTTGGAATCTAATCGCTTAAGCTCCTGAGCTGTATATATTGCATTTTTGTTCTCCACTTCAACTGCCAACAGCCTAACTGTGTCTTTCGCATATACTTTCCAACATCGAATATTTTATTGCGTGCATGCCTTTGTAAAAGGTATAATATTATCTTTTCTAGCACATTTTGTCAAAAACAAAAAACATACGATTTTTAATAGGTATCTTGACTTGTATTGGATTCAAAAATAAAATGAAAATAACACTGTAGAAAGAATCCTATACAAGCCGAAGTTGTTGCATTTTAACAACATGATGCGAAAGTCGCCATTTCCCTCAAATGCCCCGAACAACAAGCGCTCCTGTCAGTCCTGTGGCAAAACATTCCGCGTAACCATGGTAATCTTGATATTATTTTGATCTCCGAGACACGCTCTGTTTCCCTGTTTACCTTAAATAACCCTCAAGGAAAACGCGCACAAGCACGCGCTCGTGGAGTTTGAGGAATTTTTCAATTATCAAATTCGCTACCAAGCTCCCAAAATTGTCGCGCGGCAACGAAAAAAATTGACACATTTTAATGTGCAATTTCGCGTGCAAAAATGCCAGGCGTGCTAATATCTAAGGTTATGCGCTTTTATGATACGCTTGGTAAATAAGCTTGAAAGTCTCTGAAGTGCACTGCCAGTCCAATATTTTTAGTTAGGGTTACCATGCAGCTAATGTTATAGTGGCATCCTACAGATTTCCACCCTGCTTTGAGTAAAAATTCACCAGCTTCAGTGGTCCGGTGAAGTTCGTAAATTATTTTGGCAGCCCGGGCATGCATTTTCTCTATTCTGTCAAATAAAGTCACATTGCAACTTCCCCATACTATAGGATTCCATTAGTAACAGAGGGGGAGAATTACTTTATTATAGAAATCTTGCAACATTGTCTTCGCTAGAAACTGCATAGATTCTAGCGGATTGAATTTCCTTGCAAAGCTCACCGAAATGTAGCTAATTACATGTTCGGAGAATTTAAAATCAATGTCAAAAGTCAATTACAGACACCTTGTCCTGTAGCCGTTTTTGTCTGGTTTATCCAAGACAGCGCTAGCCGCAAATGTTTTTATGATTCGAGTGCATGAATTGGAATACTAAATAATTCGCACAGAACGCGGAAAATTGCATTTCCGAGGTCCTAGATGATATCCCACGGCAAATATGCTGTGGTATATTACAGATTCCCACGGCGGCCACGCGTAAAGCGTGGAAATTACACACGTAGCAAAATGAAAAAAAATATGATGTTCCCGAGCTTTTATTGTTTTGTTCTCTTCGTAAAGATTCCTTGAACCTCTATGTTATCTTCATTTCTCGAAAGAATTGAGGTTCAAATACTTTAGAGGGGAAACGTAAAATGCTCAGGTATAAATACAAAATAAACATTGTATTCGCTTAGTTATTCTGGACGTTTATTTTCAAACTTAGTGATGGTATTTACTTAGGACACGTCCACTTCGGGTATTATTTCGCTAAATCAAATTTCCTCCCTCCTGGACTACAAATCAGTAATAAATATAATACAAGTGATATCTTTTGCTGGCGTGAAGTCAAATTAGTATCAACTGATGAATATCATATATTCAAATCAGGAAAGTGTATCTTCTTTGCAGGTTTTGAAATGTAATAAAATGACGATTAACACAGGTGAAGTGATGGAGTTGATATGCAATGACACCCAACAGTTAATCACAATGGTAGACAGATCTTTGCCCTATTTGATTCGCAGATCGATCAACGTTGTCATCTTCATAAGTTGGCTCTTGCTCTTAGTTGGTTGGAAAATCATTCCTGGCTTACTTTTCGTTTTTCTTCTCTCGTTATTTCGTATTTTCATTACAGAAATCGATGTTAATTTACGACATAATGCTTCACAAGTGGCAGGGGAACGCCTTGGATATATTCGAGAAGTTCTTAGAACCATTCATTTTGTCAAACTGAATTGTTTGGAACACATTTACGACAACAAGATAAAAAATACAAGACGGTAAGTTTAATAGTACTCAGTGAACTTAGGCTAATTTACTAACATTCGGAGAAAGAAGTGAACTATTGGACTCCACCATGCTGTTTTAGATGCAATTCGGTATTATTTTTATGTAAATGTCGTGCCATACAAGTTTTCGACAGATTTCGACATGTTTTTGAACGCGTTCTGCCAGTCTCTGAAATTTGAGCAGAGATCATTCGCGTCGTACACCATCATATTTCTCATGCAATAGTCGATACAACTCAGACACCTATCTGGCTGCTTGAACTTTTATGGTTTATATTGCCCAAAGTTAGCTTCTACTTTAGCCTGGAATACAAGGTTAACTTCAAAAGATCTCAATGACGTACACTGCAGAGAGAGCTTTAACAGTTAAATCACAAACCGGCACAAGTACATAAATTTAATTTTTTAACCTTTAACGTTAAGTATCTTGTAGTACTACGTGTTGACTGTGAATTTTTCAACATAATTGCATTGTGCTTGAACAAAATTATCATTCGCAGATGATTAGATATTCTCCATCTTTTAACCTCCCAAGGTATGATAATTCGCGTACTTACATACCAGAATTACGCTAATATTACGGGCTGCATGGTACTTGGGCCATGTGCTACACGCACGTATCCATGCATTTAATTTACTCTCGCTGTCTGTGAACCCTTATATATGACCACCAAACTGACTTTATAAGTAGCTAAGTTGGAATCAACTGTAAATGTTTTGTACATGCTTTTGTACTCCATCATATTCTAACTTATTTAGCTAGGTTGAGGTTATTGAATGAATACCTTCCAGAAAACTAACTGTTGAAGTACTATTTCGAGTGAATATTGTATACATTTTTTTTACATAATTATATATAATATTAAGTTTTCATACGTTAATTCTATCGATGAGTTAATTCTATCTCAACTTTTGGAAAAATGTCCTTTATACTTTATCTATTAAAGAATAAGTGCACTTTAACGCCCGTATACTAAAAGCTCACTCACACTCACACTCAATCTGAGCTTCTCTTGAGTATCAATGCTGTTTTTGAATAGCTGGAGGGTGAGTAGTCACATAGTTAGGTACAACACTAACCCTCCACCTATTCAAAAATAACATTGACACTCAAGAGAAGCTCATATTCAATCTCCACTCAGTGAATGTGAGTGAGCTTTTAGAATACGGGCGTAAGTCTTACACATGTACCACTGTTTCAAGTACGAGGGAATAACAATGGAAGAATCGCAAGGCCGCGGATTTATTTCCTGCCAGAGAAACTAGTGTTCATTTTTCGCAGCCGTTCCAGGTTGAATCTTAAATTATTTAAATATATTCTCACTAGCTGGTGAGCATATATATTTATGTAACAGCTTAACTTTTGAGATACAATTTGGATAAATGCTAGGATGTATAGTCTTACAATGCCCGTGCATGTGTGTTGGCAAAACATTTTTTGTACAGTTTAGCGCTCAAAACATAAAACTACAACCAGGTTGAAATTGTATTCTATCTGTAGATTTCCTTTCCCTTTTCCCTTGTATTTCTCTTGAGATTCGCCCTTTCGTCTTGACTTTGATTTTAAACGAGTATTTTTATACACGGTTTACAATTACAAAATTTGCTAAATAAATCCTAACACAACTTGTATTTAGCCTACTTCCGGTAAATACAGTAAATTTATGCTTGGTGTCCAGATATTCGTTGTTTTAGTGCTTAGTGTGGTCTTCCAGTTTCTTTTTTTTTGAAAATCATTTTTACTTAACGAATAAAGCACAACAAAATTTGTAATACTTCAAAGTTGAGGAATATTTTAAGTTAAGAATAATATGCACATTTTATATATTGTTGTATGTTCACTTGTAGACGTGTAATAGTTTCCTCAATATAAAAATATATAAGCTTTACATGCCCATGTTGTATATATTTTATCATCACATTTTGCAATTTTACTAAACTACAAATTTTAATAACTTATTTTCTGCAGTTGTGCTGGACTTTAATTTCTTTGTATAATTAAATATTCGAGAAGACAGGGTATGATTGACTATTAATGATTCTCCGATTCCTTTTTTATTCTTTTAGGGAAGAAATAAAATTCAAAGCGAAAAGGTGGATCATTTTGTCTATAAGTTTTTCTCTGACTACATGTGGGAAATACATTTCAACTTTTGTGACAGTAATGATTCTCATATCGACTGATAGCTCCGAACTTACTTTTCAGAATTTATTCGCAATAATGTTGTTAGTATTAAGCATCAGCGATGCAATTTTTTGCGACATTCCAATTGCGATTCATTTCTGTACTGACATACTGACTGGGCTTACTCGGATGCAGCATTTCTTGGAACGTGATGATTTTATGGAAGTCACGATTAATGGAAATAAATTTTCTGGATGTGAACATTCTGTAGAATTAATTGAAAAGTCAACGGAAGAAATGGATCTTTCCCGTAGCTATACTCCTTACGTTTGGCTAGAGACTGCGTCATGTACTATATTCCCGCTAGACGTTTCAGATCTTCAAGAAAATGGCGTTCCACTCCTAAAGGACATTTCGTTTAAAATATCATCAAAGGGATTGGTTATTATTACGGGTTCAATTGGCAGTGGAAAATCTTCGCTGCTGGCAAGTATTCTTAACAAAGAACTTCATATTACCAAGGGAACAGTAAAGCATTTAGGAAACATTGCCTATGTCTCAGATATTCCTTGGGTATTTCCAGGAACCATTCGTGAGAATATATTATTTGGTTCAGCATATGATGAAAAGTGGTACTTGGAAACCGTCAGAGCATGTCAATTGGAAGAAGAATTTAAGAGATTCCCGGAACAGGACTTGTCTCGTATTGGAGAACATGGTGCAACATTAAGTGGTGGACAACGGACACGTCTCGCCATGGCACGCGCGGTTTACTCACGGGCGGATATATATCTAATGGATGATCCTTTAAGTTCTCTAGATGCAAAAGTTTCAGAAAATATTTTTAAGAAAGTTTTTAAAGGAATGTTATCTGAGCGGATTATACTCTTAGTCGGGCACAAATATTTAAATGAAGCTGACTACATCATAAAGTTAAATGAAGGTACAGTAGAATATTTGAATCATAATTACATTAATTAGAACTAAACTATAATTGTTTGCGTTTGATACTACTTAAATTACTATAATTATTTGTACTTATTGCATAGTTGCTCTACATTAAAAAGTTAAGAGGATTCGAGAAACGTTTAAAAGTTTAAGACCGTTACGTTTCTGACTTGAATCGTATCGTACCAAAGGGTAGAATATTTTTTGGTCCCTGACCACTAGTGTGGAACTAATGATTTGGACAGCTATGATACGATACGGTTGAAGTGGAAAACGCGCTGAATTCTTAAAATGGCAAATTGCTGCATACTATGCGATTATTTTATAGTAATATCTATCCATATTTTATTCTCATTTCATTCTCCTCAGTATTATCTTGATGAACACCCATGGCAAATTGCCCTGTAAGGTCTAAAAATATGAAGTTTTGCACGATTTTCTCTTGAAAGTTTTGTTATGCATAAAAGTTTACTCCCAGGGAAATGTTGTTCTTAAATTTTTGCCTATGGCGAATATTTTGCCCCAAAAGCCAAATAGTCCCTGTCTCACTAAATTGATTAATGTTGAAAATCACTGAATTTTCAATGTTACTGTTGCAAAGAACTCTCGAGATTGCGGTGATACATTGTGCAATAATGTACGCGATCAACTCCCCAAACGATACGGGATTCGTATTTTAATAGTAATTCCAGCCCTCTGACCCTGTCTTCACCATGTTGGCTAATGTCGTCATCTATCTGACTGGCACATGATTTGCCATGGTACAATACGAAATCACTTTTTGTAATAATGATATACTAAATTAAAGCTTTTAAATTCACAAGGGCACTAGATTGGAGGGTAGTTACAATTACGAAATAACATGTATATAACGCGTGCGCTGATTGGTCGAAACCCGTGTTTGGATCAGGCCATCCGAACACGGAAATTTAAAGTTAAAGTTTTGAAAGTGAAATTTCAACACGGAGAGTTGTTATTTTATAAAACAATTATTTTATGGTTTCCGTGTTTGGATGGCCTGATCCAAACACTTGGTAATGTTGCTCGAATTAACAAAAACGCGCAAAATCACGCGCCTTCGGCTCGTGTTTCGCGCGCTTTTCTGATCTCTCGCAACATTCCCGCGTGTTTGGATCAGGCCATTCAAACACGTAAACCCATAAAGTAATTGCATGTTGAACTTTATAATGGGAGAATGGATTCATTTTAAACCAGTAGCGTGAAAAAAATATGTTTGCGAATTTATCAAAAATGAACTATTTGTATTGGGGATTGATCCAAGGTATAAAATAGAACCTATATGATAATTATATACGCAGCAAAATTAATTGATTAAAATTTAATAGGATTTAAACATTTCTGTAACCTGTTAAAAAAAAAAGTAGATAATAAAGATTCTAATCTTTTCTTCAGGTACAGTTGTGGCTCAGGGGCCTGTGGAAGAAATGCTGAACCAGATGCCCGAGATTGAAACTCCTGAGAATAAAGAAAACAGAATAAAAGAAACTGATAAAGAACGTCCAGATGTTGAAGACAATGATGATCTTACACAAGTTGAACAGTTACGTGAAGCTAAAGAGGACCGCCAGGTTGGAAATGTTTCCTTCAAAGTTCATGCAACATATTTCATGCATGGTGCCCCAGCGTCGATTCTTTTCTTGGTTTTAATTGCAATTGGAGCAGCACAAGGTAAAACCTAATGCAGCGCAACATATCGTTACGGCATAGTTGTTGCAATATTCTTGACTGAATAATATGTTAATAATCCTGCCATGATGTTAAGGCAACATCGTCAGTGATTATTGAACTAAACTGTACAATAATGTTGGTAACACCTAGATTCTCCAACATGGGCCAAAGGGCTAACCTTTAGATTCTTTGTTGTTTATCTGGTTACGAGATTTGGCTATTTCTGAGTGGTAGTGTTATCTAGTAACCTGGCGACGCTACTCTCTACTACTCCCTCTCCACCACTCTCCTAGCTTGGATTAGGCGGATTTGCCAAACGCGCTTGGTCCTTATATGTATAATCAAACACGTTAAGCCGCACAATTAAGACGCTGCGGTATCGGTAAGGCTTCTTTGTTCATACAATTTTTGCTATCAATATGATGTACATGTGCCCTTGTTGACAAATAAGTTGAAAATTAATTTGGGTGAGATGAATTGATTGTGTGAAATATCAAACAAATTCCAGGAGAAAAAGTGTTCATATTACGCTCGCTCACAAGAATTGCGCAACTGAGCCCGAAAATAATCGAAGCCCGTCAACACGTCAATCCAAAATTCCCATGTCCATTATTTTGGTGCACATTTGGTTCTTATAAATGATTTATCTCTGTTGCCTGATTTATCTCTGTTGCCTATTAGAATATGGAATGATTCTCACGACGTTTTATGCGGGATTATTATACCAAGTTTCATAGTTTATGCCTGAATGCAAATAATAACAGTCTAGAGAAAGCGAGTTGACAGTAAAAAGTATTTCAGAAGACAGATATTTCTGTTGTGATTCTTTGTTCTTGCTTTTGCTATCTATAAATGTACCTGGCTTTAATTATCCTCCAGCCACGCGCGGAGTTCGTAGGGCGAAGCCGGTGGCGAGCGCACTAATTCCGCTCGGCTATTTACTCCCGGGGAAAAGAAAGCATTAGAAAAGTCTAAAGTTCATTAATAATCGCTGGTGGCTATGTATGGATGTTCGTCTCACTGATATTAAAAGTATAGTTGCTTGCCAGGAGTGAAGGAAGCAAAGAAGGCTTGGAATTCGTTTCACACAAAAAGTTGTAAATTATCTTTTTCAAATTTTAAAGAAACGATGAGCATGAGAAATACTAATTAAAGTATACAGTCAGTTTTTTTTATTGTTTTGTATGACTTTGCTCTTTATTTGTCGCCTGAAGCCCGTGAACTTGTACGGCTTTCTTTTCTATATTGTATGTGAAAGTATCTTTGAATTAACTTGTTTTATAATGTATTATACCGAAAGCTCAAAAAAGGGGAGCAAATTATTTTCATGATCGACCTGTATAATTTAAATTTAATACATTTCAAAGTACGAGTTAATTTAAGTACTAAGTTCGAAATGTTGTCGACTAAAACAGTAAAAGCAGTTAATTCCAATGATAATGTGAACATTTAAAAACGTTTTACGAAGGATTTCGTATTGAATTTTACATTGTGGCAATTGATAAACCAGGAGGAAATCTTAGTTTAAAGATAAAGAGCAGAGACCAGCAAATAACTTTAAAGCCAAACATAATAAAAGTTATAAATTTATTAGCTAACGTTTCGTTGTTTACAATACAGCATCTTCAGAGCAATCTAAATTAATTTACAGGGTATGGTAGCTATATATATATTTACAAAATAATGGTTTAATATTACAAAAACGGTTACATAGTTTGAAAGAACAAATGAATAGAAAGAAAGGAAAACAACTTATCAGTAACTATTTAATAAGTAAAGATTAATGTCACGTGCATGGTTAGTATATAGTTAAAGGCCCTGTCACACTATTGCGTATGAGAGAAACGTATGAGAAGCGTACGAAAATTAATGAAATAATTTTCATACGCACAAAAATCCTTTGAAATGCCAGCGTATGAGTACCGTGCATCTGGCGTACCTCTAGCGTATTTAGCGTGTGCCTAGAGTATGCTTATCGTATAAAGCATACGTCCGATACGCACAAAATTTTTGAGCATGCTTAAAAAAAATTTTCGACCTCGCCGTATGCCAGCGTATGCCACCGTACGCGACCGTGCTTGAAACGTATAAGGCCTACTCTGGGGCGGTAAATCGCCTTAAATCGCTGCGATATAATGCGATTTTGGGCATTTTAGGCGATTTAAGGAAAAACTGGGACTTTCAAGCACTGCGATTTAATGCGATTTTAGGCGATTTAGGCGATTTAAGAAAACATTTTAAATTTTAGGGATTGCAATTTAGGTGTTTTCAAAGGAATTGAATTTTATATTTTGCTGCGGTTTCCTCCCACAAGGCAAAATTAGCAGGGTGGGTTAGGATATAAACACAGTTAGGAAAGTAATATCATATTCTCGTTGTTGTAAAGATAAATAGTCTAGGCTAACATAAGTAATCATAGTACTTGATGTAATCGGTCACTGAAAAGCCCCAATGTGGGGAGTGAGCTAAATAATAATGTAATGTTTCCACACACATATGCATTGTATGAAGCAAAATACAATTATTTAGAACATGTATGTACATTTTATATAAAGCTAGGTTAACTAATTATTGTATTTAACCTGATTCACATATCAAGCTCAATATTCATGAACTTTTCATCCATTCTCTATTTAGAAGCCATTGGGGTTCATCTTGTGGGGTCATGTGGTCATTTATGGGATCATGGCTACATTATATACCACAAACATTGTAAACAGTTAATATACTCTACTTGAGGGGCATGCACTACACATGTCTTAAACTTTAATATCATTAATTTATGTCGAGTTAAAATTGCAAAATATAATAAATATTTGATTTCCAAAAAACCCACAAGAGAAACACACAATGTATTTATACAGTATAACTGAATAAGCTATAATCCTATAAATTACCTTGTCACCCTTGTAAGTAAAATTGTCTTGTTTTGTGTCATGTCAAAACTTCTTTATTTAGCTTGCATTTTATTTAAACTGTTTCAATCTCGTGCTTTCTTCATGCTACAAACATGTTTTATAAAATTTTTGATATCTATATCATATCCCAGTATCCAGAAACAGTATCGTCACGCATTCGGAAACTGTCGGCGTAATGGCGTAATGTTCAAATTACATGAAGTATATGGTATATAAATGGTAGGAATTCCAATTTCTAAATTATTTTAAAATTAAAAACAAATTACTGTAATACAGTATTAAACAAATGGCGCACTACATCGTGGTTTTAGGTTCTGCAAACAAACAACAACAAAATATCTATTGTATGGTATGTACGATGTAATCATTGTTTTACTGTTTATTGTATATACAGGCCAGGTTGCATTCCATGCAAAGTCTGCGCCGAAGATACGCCAATATTAACTATATAGATAGTATTGTAATTTGCCAAACTCACGCCGAAGATCTTCGGCGTAGGCCACTTAAAATGCACTCTGGTATAAAGGTTTGGAAAATTTAATAGATGAGAGTTGCAAATCGCTCATAACAGTACGTTTTTTTCGTTTGATAGCCACTATAATTATAACTAGGAGCTAGAGTATAACCATGCACATGTCGAAGTACAACCATTGTATATAATGCAGTGCTCGATGTTACATGCAACAGTGCACAAATTACCGGATGACTTTATTATATAAATCAACACTCGTACTAATTGACTTTCCTAGTCTCCTACTGTTGTTCTAATTAACAGCAATTAGGCTTTGAGAAGCCATGTAGATTATAGATTAATTTGTAGCCCAGCCTCCATAGTCCATATAAATTGTAGCCCAGCCTCCATTTACACCAATAATGAAATTAACTCATTCTGGTAACTAGCTCAATTTTGTTGCTGGTAGTGTATGGGATCTATGGGTCTTTCAGATCCCAGAATTACCTAATTATTGTAAAGTCTGCATAAAGCAGAAAAAGGCCCTGTTTTTGTCAATGACCGCACCGTATTGAGTGACCAAATATTGTCAGCCTAATCCACTTATTTGATTGCTAATTCATGTTGCATTACTTTTGATTTTGAAGCACCTGGAATTACATGATTTGCCCGTAAAATAGCAGCAATTGATAAACTTGAGTACATGCACTGAATGTATCAAACAGAATGCATGTTGGCGATTTTAAGCGCTTTTAGACGATTTTAGGCGACTTAAGAGAAATTCGACAATTTTAACCCGCGATTTAATGCGATTTTAGGCGATTTAAGGCGATTTACCGCCCCAGAGTAGGCCTCGTATACAACCTATGCCTAACATACCCCTGGCGTATGTCAGCGTATACCTGCGTATGAGTGATATTTTTCATACGCTGGCATACGCTAGTACGATACGCAATAGTGTGACAGGGCCTTAAGGTTAATATTACATAACTAAAATAACTCAAGAGGAGTAGATCTAATATTAGCATTAAGGACAAGGTTATGTTGAGAAATTAATAGGCTTTCACGGATAAGAAGATCCCACTCAGAAGTGCCTGATGATAGGATTTTGAAATCAGAAGCGGAGACTGGGTGTTTGTGCATGTGTAAAAAAATTTAAAAAAAACAATTATCCTGCCGTTGCCATGGCTAATATGACGCAAGCAGCGCGAGCCTGCGTTCAGTGTTAACATAGTTAAGAATACTTCATGTTGGAACAATTAATATTTGGAAAATGTGGGCGAGGGGTTGCTGCGTGCGTGTATTTCTAGTTTAATTGACCTCATGCTTCTTTAGGTTTTATAAATGGTTCAAAATGTTTTCTTTTGTTTTCATTTCTATTTTTAGCACGTCTAAATAAGTATGACATACGGTACACTGCGATATCAAATCAAACTTTTATTTATTTAAAGATTCATGATTTTTGATTCGCTAATAGCCAACTGTAAAATCGTTATGTCTTCTCAATAGCGAGTTTTGAGAAAGAAAAATATTCAAAGTTGTCATGACACAATGTTGATATGAAGAAATCATGTTCAACTTTATGACATCATGCTTTGGAAATGTGAGTATGAAATGTGGAAACACGACCA